GTTGTTAAGGAAGAAATTTCTAAAAAGTTAACTTTGGAAAAAAATTTTGCTCTCTCTCTTCCTCTGGATCCCAGGTCCTCTCGGCGGCCACGTGTAGCCACAAGTAAAACAACAATGCGTGTTGACGTCACAGAATTACAGAGTTTAATCCAATATAAGATAATGCATAAACTTAGAAGTAAGACAATGCACAAACTTACACCAGAAACTGCAGAACAACGGAAACCCCCGGGGATGCGTGCATTTATCAGATCCAAAACCCATGCGGGACGGGCCCTTCCGGGGGTGGCGCGTGGCGGCGCGGGCCTCCCGCGGGGCGGTGTCCGCCGCCGGCGTGGAAGGCGGGCCGGTGGGGGGGATGCGGTCGGCGGTGGCGACTCTGGACGCGCGCCGGGCCCTTCTCGCGGATCTCCCCAGCTACGGTGCTCGTCCGGGACCTCGTTCGCGCGGGGCCCCGGGCGGGTGGCTTCGGCTGGCGCCTAGCAGCTGACTTAGAACTGGTGCGGACCAGGGGAATCCGACTGTTTAATTAAAACAAAGCATTGCGAGGGCCCGCGGCGGGTGTTGACGCGATGTGATTTCTGCCCAGTGCTCTGAATGTCAAAGTGAAGAAATTCAATGAAGCGCGGGTAAACGGCGGGAGTAACTATGATTCTCTTAATCGGAAAGCGGAACAATATATCTGTCGGTGAACCCTAATTTCACATTGTACCAGGCCCCCATCCAGCGAAACCACAGCCTAGTGAGCGGGCTTGGCAGACTAAGGGAGGGTGTGACTAACCTGATGGTTCTACATGCATAGGCAGTTATGAAACTGCTTATTACCTAATGGAGGAAGGATCAATGGTGTAAATGACTAAGAAAACTTTGGCGTTACAGATGTGGTCAGGAGGAAAGATTATAACCTGATCTGTCCTCACATCTATGGTGAAGTTGTGACTAACTAAGTTGGCATCCACAGGTATGTCCAGTTTCGGTGGGGATGCTAACCTACCCTGTCTTCCACAGATAAGCCGACCATGATGAGTGTGCGAGCCAGAAATATCACGGGTGAAGGAAAGATGGCGAGCACACCTAGGAGGAAAACACAATGGCGGGAAGAGCGGGTCGGTTCGGCGGACGCGGTGGGAAGCAGACCTACTGCTGGACAAATTCTGAGAAGGCCGGAGGGGATGACCAATGCAGTGGATGTCACACCAGTGAGGAAACTACGGAGAGGACGGGTCAGGAGACGCATCTGGGGAACAGCACCAAAGAAAGCAGGCATGATTAAGATGGACTATATGATAGACAGTATGAGGGGCAACATACTGCCAAAATCGGCAATGGTGGGCATAAGGATACCATGGCAACCAGAGGACTGTAAATTCTGTGACGAGCACCTCACCTCTGCATCACAGGCAGCAATACATCTGAGAAGGGCACACAAATGCAAAGCCATATGCTATATATGTAGAAACTGTGCAACAAGCAAAAGCAGACTCGGACAGGCGTCGGTACACTCCGCACGATGTGTAATCCATACCAAGAGCACTTCGGTCACCCATGATGAGGCTTGCACTCATTGCTCCTCTTCATTCAAGACCAAAAGGGGGCTCTCTCAGCACATAAGGAGGATGCATACGGCAATGTATTTTAGGACAAGGAAAGGAGTCGAAGATCGGTGTGTTGCAGGTGAGGTGTTAGAAATAGAAGAGAGTCCTGCAAGAGATGCAGCAGCGGAATCCGATGTTACCACACCAATGTCCCTCAGAGAACACTTCAGTTTGACCTTGAGCGAAACAGACAATGTATGGGGCCTTCACTCCCTCCATTCCTCTAACAAAGAGATTAATAAGGTCATGAAAAGAGCAATCTGCCGTATGAACGGCACTCTAAAGGGAACACAGATAAGGCCAAAGAAGGCCATGCATGGGCGTGATAAAAACAAGAAATACAAGGTCCAAAGATACAGGAAGATACAAGGGTTATATAATAAGGATAGACCCAAAGCTGCGGCCTTGATTGTGGACAAGATGGAAGAGATCAGGTGTGAAATCCCGATCAAAGAAGTAGAGATAACATATAAGAATATCTAGATGGCTTCAAAACTCTGGGTAGAATTGGGGTACTACCCAGAGCAGAAAATGGTGTCCTAACAATGCCAATAACAAAAAAGGAGGTCGTCGAGGCACGAAACAAAATGAAAATAAATACAGCCCCTGGTCCGGACAAGGTACAGGTTGGAGCACTGAAATTGTGGGACATGGACGGATCCAAATTAATGACCATCTTTAATGCAATGCTGTACAAGGGGAGAATGGCGAATTGCCTAAAAGGTAATAGAACCACACTATTGCCGAAAACCATGGACAAGGACAAGCTAAAGGACATTCGGAACTGGCGACCCATTACAGTGGGCTCGGTAATATCCAGACTATTGTCTAATATTCTGACCAAGAGACTGGCGATGGCATCCCAGTTACATCATGCACAAAAAGGCTTCGTGGAAGGAATGGGATGCGGAAACAACCTGATGATCCTGGAAGGCTTACTAAAAGTCAGCAAGACAAGAAATACACCACTGGCAGTGGTGTTCGTGGATCTGGCAAGGGCATTTGACTCAGTGCCACACAGATTGATAGAAGAAGTATTGAGCAGAAGGAATGTGGAGGAAACTCTCAGAGCATTCATTCGAAGCACTTTACGGGCGCATTCACTCAAATAAGGTCAGCAGGAAATATCTCAAGGAAGATTGAGATAAAGTCAGGCGTAAAACAGGGTGATCCCCTATCACCTCTGTTATTTAACCTGGCCATGGACCCACTTATCAGACGGCTGGACAAGAGCGGAAAAGGATTTACGATCTCGGGCAACAAAATCACATCGTTGGCATACGCGGACGATTTAGTGATTATCAGCGTCTCCTGGGGCGGTATGCAGAGAAACCTGAGGATCATGGAGGAGTACCTGCAGAATGTCGGGCTGCGTATTAACATTAAGAAATGTAGTGGATTCCTGTGGAGCAAAAGAGATAAAAGATCAATGACACTGAATGTTGGTGAAACATGGAAGATTCAAGGGGGTGAACTTCCAGTGATTGGACCGGGAGAAAACTTAAAATATCTGGGGGTCCAGATAAACCCGTGTAAGGGTATTGTACCGCCCGACCTTACCAGTAATGTGGATGAAATACTGAATAATATCTCCGATGCTCCCTTAAAACCCTCACAGAAGGTGCAAATACTAAGGACATATGTCCTTCCAAGGGTAATCTACGAAGCGGACAAGGCAATGGTGGGAAACTGCACACTGATCAAGGCGGATAATATGATCCGATCCCGGATAAAGGAATGGCTACACCTGGACCCATCAACGGCAGATGGGCTGATCTATACGAGGACATGGGATGGAGGAATGAGCATTCCCAGATTGCAGAGAAACATCCCAATGATCCAACTAAAAAGAATACTGACATTGAAGGCGGCAGAGGACAAAACGACAAGAGAAATAACCAATGAAATAATTCCTCAAGGAATTATAAAAGACCTGTGGCGGAGGCACAGAGGTGAGAGCAGCACGATGAAAAAGGCGGTGCATGGAGGAAGATGGAACTGCTGAAGTGGAAAGAACTTAGATGCCAAGGAAAAGGAATAGGGGTATTTGAAAATGACCCCATTAGCAACAAGTGGCTGACCAATAAAGAGCCAATGACCGAAGCGGAGTACATATGGGCCCTCAAGCTCCGTACAAATATGGTGCAAACGCCTACCAAACTGAGCCGATGGCTAAAGGAAAAACCACACGTTGTATGCAGACTATGTAAGAAGGAAAGTGAAAATATTATTCACTTATTGGGAAGATGCGATGTGCTCAAAAATAATAGAATGCATAACCACAATGTGGTATGCAAAATGCTTGAGAGAGAGGGCATAAAAATGGGCTGGACGGTCTGGAGAGAGTTGAGGGTGTCTCTCCCGGATGGGAAGACAGGAGTCCCAGATCTGGTTCTTACTAAGAACCATGTTGCATTGGTGATTGACATGGCTATCTGCTACGAATCAGGAGAAGGCGCGTTGGAGATGCGAAGGAGGACCAAGGAGGAGAAATACAGACCATTCGCGAGGACGATCGGGAGGAGAACGGGAACAACGGACGTGAAAGTGTTCGGCTTCCCCCTAGGAGCGAGGGGGAAGTGGGACCCATGGAATGAGAGACTATTAAGATCAATAGGACTCTCTAAGACTGGAATATTGAAAGTTGCAAAGCAACTATCAAAGAAAGTACTAATGCTGTCTGTAAAAACTGTGAAAACATACATACATCTTGTTGCAAAACTGACTTGAGATGCAAACTGTTCGATGTGAATAACTGTCTATGTGTTCAAAATAAAAGGGTTGAATGGATGATCTGTTGTGAGGTGTCATCTGTTCATATTTTATCCACAGACCCGATGATGGTTCTGCGGGCCGTTGCCCTGGTGGTGGAGCTGTTGGATACTGGGGTTAGATATACGAAGGGACCTCGGTCCCGGGGTGTGACAGTCTGGAAAGCTCGTCTCCCAGTGCGTATTATTCTATGGGCGATGTGAGGGGTAATTAGCGGTACCCCTGTCCACGTGAGACGTTAAACGGCCCGAAATGGAGGCCCACAGCATCCTGTTTTAGGATAGTTGTGGGACCCTAGTGCAGTTACAGAAGTAAGGTTAGGGCGAACTGCCTAGGCATCACCCTGGAGGTACTGAGCCTGACCGAAGTAATACTTGGCCGGGTTCTGTGCTTGCCAAACTCCGGAGTCCCAAGGCACACCATACGTGCCTGGGCGAAACTAGGCCTGACTCTGGGAAGAGTCTAATTAGTGACGCGCATGAATGGATGAACGAGATTCCCACTGTCCCTAACCCCCATCCAGCGAAACCACAGCCAAGGGAACAGGCTTGGCAGAATCAGCAGGGAAAGAGGACCCTGTTGAGCTTGACTCTAGTCTGGCACCGTGAAGAGACATGAGAGGTGTAGAATAAGTGGGAGGCCTCGGCCGCCGGTGAAATACCACTACTCTTCTCGTTTTTTCACTTACCCGGTGAGGCGGGAAGGCGAGCCCCGAGCGGGCTCTCGGTTCTGGCGTCAAGCGCCCCTCGCCCGAGGGGTGCGACCCGCTCCGGGGACAGTGGCAGGTGGGGAGTTTGACTGGGGAGGTACACCTGTCAAACGGTAACGCAGGTGTCCTAAGGCGAGCTCAGGGAGGACAGAAACCTCCCGTGGAGCAGAAGGGCAAAAGCTCGCTTGATCTTGATTTTCAGTATGAATACAGACCGTGAAAGCGGGGCCTCACGATCCTTCTGACTTTTTGGGTTTTAAGCAGGAGGTGTCAGAAAAGTGTACAGTGTGTGAACCTCCTGATTTGATAGAAAAGAATTGCAAAAATCCAGCAGTAAAAAAACTATTGATTAGTTTCTTAGCATCACCCCTTGAAAAGATCTTTCTAATTTTGGCAATATTCTGGAGAAGAAGAAAATCCCAGAACCCTGTTCATTGTAAGATTTATTTGACAGGTCAATAAATGATGAAATGAAATGAGTGTTTAAAATGTAACTAAGGAAAGGCTAGATTTTGACATCCTTCTAAAGGAACATTTTGCAATTACTTTCATGTAATCAGAACATATCATTCCACTTTTTGTTACAAACTATATAAGCAAAGTGGTCATTCTTCCATCTTCATATTTATGGTTAGTGGCCATGTTTTATGCAAAAAACAAGAAAACTGATATGGCAATTACATATGTTCTGGAACAAGGTTACTTAACATTAGACTGACAATTCCAAATGTATTTCCAGAGACATTTGAAATAAAATATGTCCTTTTTTTTTTTTTTTCTTAAATTCTGATAATTTGCTATAACTTCATGTTTTCTTCTTTTCACAGAAACAGAAACCTGTTGTGTCCACAATCAAAATTCTTGGTGCTATGGAGAAGGAGTCTACGCCAGACATCACTGAGATTCTTCTGGAGGATGGAAGCATCTTAGAAATCGCTGAGAAACTCTGAACCCTTTGAGGAATCATTGAAACAAGGAACTCTGGAGTTGATGGCAGAAATTGATGGCAAGACCATCACCAAGCTGTGCCAATAAATCCAACCTTTTATTTAATAAGTTCTTAAATTCTTTTGTGCACTTAAAACTGAAAAGTTAATATTAATTGAATATAAATTCTTTTTTGTTTTATATTGAATGTAAATTTTTTTTTTCAGTTATAAGTACTATAAGCTGTTGTTATTGTTTAAAAACCAGCGGTCCCCAACCAGCCGGTTGACCAACCAGTCAGTCGGTCATTTGGTACCGGGCCACACAGAAAAAAAAAAAATATTAAACTTGTTTCTTGAAAAAGGTAAAATTGTTAACTAGGGATGGATATGCGGTTTCAGAATCAAACATATTTTCTAAACCTACGTAATATTCAGTCAGTGAACAATGATCAGTATGTCATTACTTTTCATCAAGTTAAAACAAAAGTCCCTTCCAATGTTCTCAGATTAGAAACAGCTCTTTCAATCAGCAAAAAACACAAGTTGGACATAAATTCCGTTTAAATTCAAGCAGAAAAATAAGACCTGAATAAGTAATGACGTCATTGAGGTGACTTCCTAGTTCGCGAGGCTTAAGTGTTTTATAGTCCGTTGGCGCGGAGTCTGCAGGTTGCCTGTCCTACAAAAGAATCTGTAAGCACATTTCTTCTGTCTGTTATACCTGTATTGTATCAAATTTTAGGGAGAGAGTTTAAATCTTTTTTTTTAAAAGTTCTGCTCATATACTTTGAAGAATATTTTGATACAGAGCGATTTCAAACTGCACTGCTGTGCGCCATACCATTTTCAAATACTGCAGCGCCATTCTGTTTGCTGAGCTACCGCTGATTTGAGCGCCAATGCGGCATAATTAGTTCAGTACTAAATCTAAGTTTCTAGCAGAGGTTTTAAAGTGTCTTGGCAGGATTAAACCACATACATGATTTTAAAAGAGTATTGTTCTTTTATTCTGTTTGTATGCGCTTTTAATAATCTTCACAGCCAAGCTACGCAGTGTATCCGCAGGTCATTAAAAATCATTAAAAGCCATTTAATTATTTTTGAAAAAAACAAGGCCTTGGCATTAAAAGTTATTAAATGTGATTATCGATGGCATTTAAAGTGCCTTTTTTGTCGAAAAAATAGGGTCATAAAAACAGTCTCATCAGATATATCAGATAAAGCTGATTCCGCGTGTTTGCACGGAACAAACACAGGTTTTGTATATAGTTTGTATATAGTGTATATATTTGTTTTGTATGTATATATGTATATATATATATATATATATATATATATATATATATATATATATATATATATATATATATATATACATACATAGAATATTTGTCTTTTTTGCTATGATTTTGTAATCTCTGATTCTAAGATGCATTATTTAGTTTTTTGTTTATTTTTTCCCCCCACATTGTAGTTTGTATTATATCATTTTTAAATGCTGTCATTGGCATCTCTTCTCTCATTTGTCTGTTGTTAAGGAAGAAATTTCTAAAAAGTTAACTTTGGAAAAAAATTTGGCTCTCTCTCTTCCTCTGGATCCCAGGTCCTCTCGGCGGCCACGTGTAGCCACAATGAAAACCTGCATTGCGTGTTGACATCACAGAATTACAGAGTTTAATCCAATACAAGACAATGCATAAACTTAGAAATAAGACAATGCACAAACCTACACCAGAAACTGCAGAACAACAGAGACATACATTCCATTACCTGACATAAATGGAGGGAAGGAAAGAAAGCAAAGACGTACAAAGACATCTTTGGAGAGTTGCAAGAGCAAATCTGATTTGTTACTTCTATGTAGAAAGCTTTATCCTCTTGTATCTAATCCATTCAAATAAGGCTGGCCCTTGCTCCTCCAACCAGGAGCCATCTCTGACACTCAGAATTTACTGCCGGGCCTCCAGGAATTCTAAGGTCATCTGGCTAACGAAAACATGAGATAAGACCTCACAGAATAGCTGTTGGAATGCGGGGGGCCTCTTTCCTGCCGTAAATTCTCATGAACAAACTTAAATTCAGTATTTTGGTTCAAGGAAAGGTTATCTTCACAACTCAATTTTGCTCTTCTGCACCATTTCACCCCAAAAGATTGAATCCTGCCTTAAACAAAAATAACACACAGAATCAACAGAACATAAGATGCAATTCCTTTTTCTCACATATGAAACATAATATTCAATCCTGAGTATACAAGCTAACATATTCCATTACCCCATTAAGCATAGATCCTGAGCAATTTTCTAATACTAAACAAAAACATTTTCATTCAAACAATTTCAATTTGATTCTGATATTGTCACAGATAGTACAATTTTCAATTAAAAACATGCTATTAATACTTAGAAAACTGTCTTAAAAACTAAATGTTAGTGTTTTAACATTCTACATTGTATTCAGTTTCACACCATCCCAGATGTTTATTCTGGAAGACTTTTGATCTTCTGTAAACCAAGCAGACCTCTCGGTATTCGCCCCCCAGGAGATACTCATTTTATGGCCTCCTGTGCTTTGAATACTTACCCATCAATAGTTTAGTTTTAAATCATTAACACAACCTTGTTCAAAATTAAGAAATATGGTCAAAATGAGAGTGTTCAACATACCTTTTACACATGGCATAAGATTAACTGTATTAAAAACTAAAAATAATAATTTTTCTTCAACACTAATCATCCTTCCAGAAATCAGCCAAGGTGTAAAACATCTGCTGGCTCCTTTCCCGTGCTGTAAAAAGATACAGTTTAAAAAACTCACAACCCCAGAACTTTAACCTTTTGCTCCTTTCCCGCGCTGTAAAAGTATTTGTCTATTATTCTATGATCAGCCCCCAGAAACCTTAATAATCCATCCTTCCAGAAATCAGCCAAGGTGTAAAACATTTGTTGGCTCCTTTCCCGTGCTGTAACAAGATACAGTTTAAAAAACTCACAACCCAGAACTTTCCCGCACTGTAAAAGTATTTTTCTATTATTCTTTAACAGCCCCCAGAAAACCTTCCTTTTTCATCCTTCCAAAAATCAGCCAAGGTGTAAAACATTTGTTGGCTCCTTTCCCGTGCTGTAACAAGATACAGTTTAAAAAACTCACAACCCAGAACTTTCCCGCACTGTAAAAGTGTTTTTCTATTATTCTTTAACAGCCCCCAGAAAACCTTGCTATTCATCCTTCCAGAAATCAGCCAAGGTGTAAAACATTTGTTGGCTCCTTTCCCGTGCTGTAACAAGATACAGTTTAAAAAACTCACACCCCCCAGAACTTTAATTTTAAAAACAGACACCCATCCTTAAACTTTTCACCTTTTCACCCACACCCACACACACACACACACACACACACACACACACACACACACACACACACACACACACACACACCCACACACGCACACACCCACACACACACACACGCACACACACCACTGACCCCACAGACCCCCACCCCTTCAAATTGTGTGAGTGTGAAACAGCAAATGGTTTGCAATGAGGGTTTTAAATCGTGTTTATTCAATTATTCGTTTCCTGCATTCTAAAACAGACACCCCGCGTTTTTTAATTTTTTAATCTAAAAACATCATATAATTTTACAGCTCAACAGATGTAGGGATTTAAGCTTCTACAAAAGACCGTATGCATGAGGAACGCCATTCCCATTTTTTAAAGAGTGCAGGGCAGACGTCTTCATCATGAAACACAGTGAGTAATTTTTTTTTTCTACGTTGTTAGAAATAATTACATTCTCTTTTTCATTTATATAATTTCTTGTTTAAGGGCAGATTGTAGCGGCGGGAGATAATCCTACCATTGTAATAGGTAAATGTTTTTCTTTTTTAAACAAGATCTGCTTTTTCTCACATTTTAAAAGCTCTAATTTTTTTTTTCATCTATTTCAAGATTCCGATATCGAGGATTTTCTTATGTCAGACCTTGATTTGGGTAAGACTTTTATTTATAAAGAATATTAAAAACGGGATGGAAAAAATAACAATTATTTTACTAAACTTTTTTTTTTTTATCCAGATACCATCACAGCGACCAAACAACGCTCAAATATTCGGACAGAGAGAGAATTTCTTCCGCAACCAAACAGTTTTCCCCAAAATAATAGCAATCCGGCTGTTTATTTAGGAGAGCAAAACGGGCGGCTACCTCTACATCTTCCACGGGCCTTCTAGCCACAGGCTGTACAGGGAACGCTGCAGCCCGGGCCGCTCCAATCAGCTCCTCTACACAGCCCCAGCTCCGTCTGGCCAGTTCATCAAGCGCCTCGAACTGTCAGCCAGCCTGCTCCTACCTCCCTCGCTGCTAACCCTCTACTCAGCCGCCTCGGCCTGTAAGCCAGCCTGCTATAGCGTCCCGTGCCACAGTGCATCCCCCAGGATCTCAACCCGTCAGCCAGCAAGGTGCTCTGTCTTCCATCCGCGCGTCTCCTCAGCTCCAGGCTCTCTCACCTCGCCAGCAAAGTCATACTGACGCGGATGGAGAAAGAGACAGAAGGGGTAAGCTTAAAAAATATTTTATCTAAGCCGTTGTGATGAATATACGTCGGACATATATAAAAAATTATAATAATAACTTTTTTTTTTCTCGCAGACACATCCATTCTGAACGAAAGATCTGATCAGCCAGCTTTTAGTTCAATACCCATTGAAGTCGTTGGTAAGAAAATAAAATAATTCTTAGTTTTAATATCATATAATCATTTACATATATATATATATATATATATATTTTTTTTTTTCTGTTAGACTCACATCCTCTCGCTACAAGAAATGCTCTTCAAAGCGGAGAAAAGAAAGTAAATAGCCTTTTTAATTTAGTTAGTTTTTAGGATTTTTATTTTTAAGTCGGTCTTACTAAAGTGCGTTATTTTTTTTTTTTCTCACAGACACATCCATTCTGAATGAAAGATCTGATCAGCCAGCTTGTAGTTCAACACCAACTGAAGCCGGTGGTAAGAAAAAATAAAAATAATTCTTAGTTTTAATATCATATAATCATATATATTTTTCTCTGTTAGACTCTCAGCCTCTCGCTACAAGGAAGGTATTGAAAGTCCAGCGTTCTTTCAAAACAGAGAAAATAAAGTAAATAGCCTTTTTATTTAGTTAGTTGTTAGGATTTTTATTTTTAAGTCGGTCTTACTAATGCGGTTTATTTTTTTCCCTCAGTAGGAAAACAAAGGTGTGATGGTCTGAGCAGTCAAAGGAAGATCACGCACAGGTTTAGATCCAAAAAGTCTTCTTTTTATTGAACCCAAAACAAAGAACTTGGGTCAACAAAAAAACAAATCACAAAGTTGGGCCCATAAAAGAGGTCAAAGTAACAGAATTTAACTCAGGCTAACAAAAGACCTACTGAAACAAACAGACCTGCTACATGAGACAAAGGGAAAACTTAAATACTGGCTGATCAGGCCACATAGAAGATACAAAGGGGGAAACACACAAAAACCTAAGTGAAATTAACAGAGGAAAATCCCCTCTTGCTGATGAGAAGTGGTGTAAACCAATTTGCAGCTTCAATGGGCTGGCTCCACCCCTTCTCCACCTCTGTTCTCCTGAAGGACTGGAGCAGCCAGCACTGAGGTGACTCAAAAAAAACAAACAAAGATTAAATCAAGCAGAACATTACAGTGTAAACTAAAATGTGTGCACTTATTCTAGAATACAGTGTTATGTCTTACAAAAATTCTGTAAATTAAATCCTAAATGTAAAGAAATCCCAATATAAATGAAATGAGACTTGCTGACTTAGTGTGTGTGTTGTGATTGAATGTTACCACATTTGGGTGGCTGTAGTTGCAGCCATCACAAAAGGAAAAGCTCCGCCATCGTTTCTGCAGCACCGCTGGTCCAACACATTGCGCCGGGGGACGCGGTCATCCAGGATATAGCGGAGACAGGAAGTGCTGTAGTCCAAGATATAGCGGAAGCAGGAAGTGGCGGTGAAGTTGTAGTCCAGGAAACCGGAAGCGGCGGAGAAGATCAGGAAACCGGAAGTGCTGTACTCCAAGATATAGCGGAAGCAGGAAGTGACGGAGAAGTTGTAGTCCAGGAAACCGATAATGGAGGAGAAACTGTAGTCCAGGATATACCAGAAGCAGGAAGTGGTGAAGAAGATCAAAAATTTGAAAATACGATTCAAGAAAGATCTGACCAGCCAACTTTTAGTTTAACACCCGAAACCAATGGTAAGAAAATAAAATAATAATAATAATAATTCTGAGTTTTAATATCATATATATATATATATATATATATATATATATATATATATATATATTTTTTTTTTTTTCTCTCTTAGACTTACCCCTTCTCGCTATAACAAACAGACTTAGAAATGAAGGTAAATACTCTTTATTTATTTATTAAGTTTTATTTTTCTTTAAAAAGTCAATCTTAGTAATTTGTTTTATTTATTTTTTTTTTTCCTCAGTAAGAAATCGAAACGGTCAGTCCAGCATTCCCATCAGAGAAGAATCCAGACACCTGGCTTTTCACACATTGACGGCTGTGAGCGAGCTTCTGTCTGCAGCTGGCAACCAAGAAGGAGTTCCCGAGCGCCTAGTTATTCAGGCATTGGCAGCTGTCGGCGAGCTTCTGACTGCACCAGGCAACCAAGAAGACCCCGGCTTCCGTTTGTCCATCTTGGTGAATATGTGCTACATAATGAGGAACATTCTTGGATGAAAAAAGTCTAGTGAATAAACATGTCTGACCCGCATTTATCTCAGTCAAACACATCTCCGAATGTTTCTCCTTCTAGTGAAAATCAAAATGCAGCACAACCAGATTCTTTAGATGAATTTGTCTCTGAAAAGGTTTTACAGAATTTGCGAAATATTGCCGATGATATAAGCCCTTTAATTGATGCCGGTTCGCCTTTAAATACGACCTCTCCCTTAGAAGATACAATTCTTTCTCACAGTCTGCCTCCGCAGCAAGAAAATCATCTAGAACACTTAATTAGCTTGGAGCAAGCTCTGAGCGAATTATCCAGACATTCTCCTTCTAGTGAAAATCTTTTACCGTTAAACCATCCCTTTCCTTCTCAAAATGTCATTCAATCCGGCGAGGAGTACAAACCCTAAACAGAGAAAATTTTAACAATGTGGAAATTAGGGAACAGCTTTCACTAAATCAGAATGGTTCAGAGGGAAATTTAGCAGAAATATTCCTCAGCATGATGAATGTTTTATCCAATCTGGCTGAAAGAATAAGAGCGCTCACATCTAGGAATGATGTCATACAACTTGAACTAGTAACCGATGGTGGGTCTCGTCACACAACCTTTACTGTAAATGATAATGGGGAAAATATCATGGAGGACCTTGAACATTTTATGGATAGTTTGGTACAATCTAATTCGGAATTAACCGAAGAGGATAATGTGGAATTCATTCTCCAGCTGATTCGGAATCCTCACGGGGGTGGCAGACTAAAACTTGAAAAAATTGTAGACCAAGAATTAATAAAAAGAAAGAGAAGACATTTAATTGTGATTAATGATGACGGCGATCAACTTTGCTTTGCAAAAAATTTAGCCTGTTTAGCATATCCGAATCTCTCCCTCAGAGAGGTTTGTCATCAGGCTAGAGCATGGCAAAGGCAGGCAGGACTTTCTGATCAAACACCAGTTTCCTTTTCAGATGTCAAAACATTTGAAGAAATCTTAAACAGAAAGATTGTGATATATTATCGCTCAGTAAAGGAAAGCCCTCTTTCTAAATTTGAGACAAATTTTTCAGACCGATCAAGACCCCTTTTCTTGTTTCTATTCAACCAACATTATTACGGAATCAAATCCTTAACAGGATTTCTGGGTGGCAATTACATATGCGATTATTGCTTTTCCCCTTTTGTAAAAAAAGACAGACATTCCTGTCGGGGTTATTGTCCGGTCTGCAACGATCCAGGCTGTACTCAGCTTGAATCCTCACCAGTTTTTTGCCCCGACTGCAATCTGACTTGCCGCAATCAGACCTGTTATGTGAAACATAAAATCAAAAAAGAAAGACCGATAGCAAAAACACGGGCCAGTAATTGTGAGATACATAAATTATGTCTAAAGTGTGGAAGAAAATATTATATTCCCATCTCTACTCCTGGCAAACCCCATGTATGTCTACCTTGAAAATGTCACATATGCAGAGAGAAAATATCTCCAGATTCGGGTGAGGGAGAGCACCCGGTGTTTCATTCAACCGTGTCAGAAAGATGAAAAACTAGAGAAGAAATCAGTTTTTTTTTACATTGAGACCTTTGTTAACGAGGAAAGCAAACATGTTCCTTTCCTCGTCTGTGCAAAAGATTCATTGGGAAAAGAATGGTCCTCCTTTGGTCTGAAATGCGTTCAAGATTTTATTCCCCACTTTCGAAGACCAAAGTTTTCCAAATTTGTCTTTTTGGCGCACAACGGTAGATCTTTTGACTATTATTTGGTTCTGAATGCCATGGTTCAGATGGGTATAAAACCTCGCATCATTATGCAAGGTTGTAAAATTCTCAGTTTTATCGACCCAGACTATGGTTTAAATTTTATAGATAGTCTTTCATTTCTACCTATGAAACTCAGTGCCATGCCGAAAGCTTTAGCGATAAAAGTAAAGGTTTCTTTCCACACAAATTTTCATCCCAACAAAATTTGAAATACGTCGGCCCGCTTCCCCCACCTCAGGCCTATGGGATAGAAAATATGTCACCGCCTGAAAAAGAAAAGTTTTTGAACTGGTACATAAATGCTTCTGCTTCACCATTCTCTTTTGAAAAAGAGGCAATGTACTACTATAAAAATGATGTTGAAATCCTATCTTAAGGCTGCAAAAAATTTTGAGAATTTAGCGATACCCATATAGATCCATTTTCTCGGATTACAATCGCCTCGGCGTGCATGAAGACTTTTCAGGCAAATTTTCTGACTTCAAATACGCTGGC